TTATATTACAAAATGTGTAAATTATCGTTAATTCAATTATACCATGAATATTCTTCAATTGAATATTATATAAGAATTTCTCCAAATAATTATAAACTTCAATTAAACAGTTTAAATGTTGAGAAAAAGATTAAAATATTATATCATAACACCAATTCATGGGTAAGGACTTGATAAATACTCTTTAATTAATTGTAAACTCATTGTAAATATGATTAAATCAAAATTAGACAACTATAGTCACGTGACAGATCCACAACCTGGAAAACCCAAAATTTCATAACTTTAACAAGTTGCCTGTTAGTTTAGTGGTTATAAGCCGCGAATATTAGCAGGGGACTAGGTGCCGGAGGCTATGCCGAAGTTTTCCGTGATAGTTTAGTGGCTAGAATCACCGTTTGTCGTCTCGGCAATACATGGTAGACCGGGGTTCAATTCCCCGTCGCGGAGCACCTTATTTTTTTTGCTAATTTTGAAATTTTGACAGTATTTAGCAATATATAATGATATTGATCAGTTCATTATATTGCAATCTAAAAAGAATATAATATCTTATCGGATTTCACTAGTTTATTACTTTTTATAGTGTTTGTTTTACTTATTGTGATTGTAATATTGTTAATTGTTTAATTCATATGCATGCATGAGCTCGGGAAAAATATCAAAGGTGAAGTTTTTCAATTTAACAGATCTGATCATACTGGGAAATTATTATATCGAGTCGATAATTCTGGGTTGTTTGATATTATTTAAGCTACATTATACTGGATTGGCAATATTCAAACCTGTTGTCTAATTAGGTACTATATGAGTTTGATATCTAGGTAAACTGTGTTCCTTATATTAATTTTCCGTCATAGTTAAGCTCAAGCCCATAGTTAAGCTCGTTGAACAAAACCAATTTAATACATCCCAACCAGACACTATAGGGAGATATAAGAGGCGGCAAAACTACAAAACCCTACTCTAGAAACACATATATCCAGCTCTGAGCTCGATTAGACCACGGGAACACCATCATAAGCATCACTTTATTTCTCCCATAGTTAAGACCGTAGTTTTTTTCAACCATAGTTAAGAAATCCCATAGTTAAGCTCTACCCATAGTTAAGCCCATAGTTAAGCGAAATCTGAAAACCAAATCTAATATCACCACCAAAAATTCAAATTCGCGAAACTCTCGGAAATGGCATGTCACGTGCTTATCTTACATCATTTTTTGGATATATTTCAAATTCAGTATAACGGACGACTAATTTGTTATTGCTGTTAAACTCAATTGCAAGCTATTGATCATCCGCTTATATTATAAATGTAAAAGCTCCAATATTTCAATGTTCAATTGTTAATCCTTTGTTTTCTCGTTGTTTTTTGATTGTTACGAATTCCGACCTATTTGAGAATAAGTTCAATATACTGAACTATTCGAAATAGATTTGATGGTTTGATTTAAATAATTCTCTTCTTTTGATAAAAAGAGTGAATTGATTCATCTTTCTGATAATCTGAGTGATATTTCTTGTTTTAATTGGCTTATCATATCATGAATTATGGCATATTTCAAGATCTTTTTGGATCCAAACGCGAAATTTTGTTCAATATATTGATGAAAAAGTGTTCCATATTTGTTTCATGCTTTGAGCCTCAATAGAAAGTCAACGACAATAGAAATAAACTTATAAGAATACCAGTCAACTAAAATGAACTATCAGAATTTCGTGAGTATATTGTGAGTGGTTTTGATTATGATTTCAAATATTAACATTTGGTTACAGGATCAACCACCTTTAGATCTTAGTACAGCTCCTTCTTCTTCATCAAATTATTTCCAACAAAATCAACAACAACAAGGTCCAAATAATATATCTAATCAATTTTGGGGCGAACCAGCTACTGCAAACACTTCTACATCTAATTATTCACAACTTTCATCTTTTACACCATTAAACACTGCCAATTCATCAACTTCAACTATCCCTACAACTTCACAAACTACTAGATCTCAATTTGATCAATTTAATCAAAGATCTCAATTTATAAATAATGATTTTAATAATCAATCCAATCCACAGTTTAATGAAAAGGAAGAAAGATTAAAAATTGATTTAAAAATTAAAGAAAGTCAAATTGAATCATTAGAAAATGAAATTCAAAGATTATCAGAATCTCAAAAAATTTTAGATAATAAATCAAGATTATCAAATATAAATCAACAATTAGTGATTCCTAAAAATATTAATGAAATTTTTACAAAATTAACTACAAATTATAATAAATTAGAATTAGAATTACAAGATACTAAAAAAAGATTAGAATCTTTAATTACAGCAATTAGTTTAAATCCTTCAAATTCTATAACAAATAATGGTAGATATGATGAATTAGAAATTTCTCACAAGATTATTCTTAAGTTGGATTTATTGAAAAAAGAAAATGAAGAATTATTAAATCAATTAAGTTTTGGAAAAAGTAAAGAAGTTGATATTGAGTTAAATTTATTGAAAATGGAAAATGAACAATTAAAAGAAAAATTAAAATCTTTTGAATCGAAATGATCAGACTTAATGATAACGTTGCTATAGATATGTATTTGCTAATGAATAAATGATATTACAATTCTAAAACGTTCTATAAATCAAAATAAAAACTTTTTTTTCAATAAATTATATACACTATAACCACCACCTCATTTCTTTAAAGCTCTTCTATCTTTAACAGATTGTGCCAATTCTTTCAATACAGACTCTGTACTTTCAATATCAATACAAGCATCAGTGATACTACAACCATAAATCAAATCTTTTTTACCAGTTTCTGGAACATCTTGTCTACCTTCAACTAAATTACTTTCAATCATAACACCACAAATAGATTCGGAACCTTTTGAAATTTGTTCAGCAACGACATGCGCAACTTTTGGTTGATTTCTATGATTTTTTTGTGAATTACCATGTGAACAATCAACCATAATTCTTGGTTTTGTCTTTATACCTTGTTTAATTAAATCTTCTTGAGCTTTTTTGACACTTTCTTCATCGAAATTTGTACCTGATTTACCACCTCTCAATATAACAAAAGTATCTTGATTACCTTCAGTACCAACAATTGCAGTTATACCAGGTTTTGTCACTGAAAGGAAATGATGTGGATGTGATGCAGATCTCATTGCATCGATGGCAACAGTTAAAGAACCATCTGTACCATTTTTGAAGCCAACTGGGAATGATAAACCTGATGCTAATTCTCTATGTAATTGAGATTCAGTAGTTCTTGCACCAATAGCACCTAAAGAGAATAAATCTGATAAAAATTGTGGTGATATAGTATCAAGCATTTCACCTGCAATTGGTAACTTTTTAGTTAAATTAACAAATAATTCACGAGCAATTCTAAGACCTTTATTTATCTTGAATGAATTATCAATATCAGGATCATTAATTAAACCTTTCCAACCTACAGTGGTTCTTGGTTTTTCTAAATAAGCTCTCATAATAATTAATAATTCACCATCAACTTGTTCTTTAATTTTCAATAATTTAGATTGATAATCTAATGCAGCAGCAGGATCATGAATAGAACAAGGACCAATAACAACAATTAATCTATCATCTTCGCCATTCAAGATCTTGACAGCATCATCACGACCTTTTAATATAACTTGCTTATTTTCTTCAAGCAATGGATATTCTTGTTGTAATAAATCTGGTGGAGTTAAAGGATCATAACCTGTGATTCTCCAATCTTCTAACCTGGAACGATCTCCAATATGTTGATTTTGTATAAACATTTGATGTGAATTGTTTGACATGATGACTTGTAATATAACTTATAGCTGCTCCAAATAAATAACCGGATAAATAACAATAAATACCAATAAATAGAAATAAATAAGAGACTGATCAAAGACTTTATATACTGGGGAACAACTGTGACTCACTAACCAAGTAATCCGTTTGACCTATCTAATTTTCCACAGTTAATTTAATCAAACTGATAAAAGTTGTATTTTTGATGCCGTTTTGTGCAAATTTTTATGTTTTTGACTCATTCAAATTTGAACTATACTAATAG